CCATCTTCCATTTTGATGCCTGCTTCAAAGACTGACATACCTATCAGAGATTGCTTTCATCAAGCATAATCTTGCTGATAAAACATTTGCTTTTCTCTGTAATAAGGAACCATCGGGATACCCCTTCACTAATGTCTAAAATCTCAAAGGATTTATCTCCTAAAGAGAGAGTCACACTTCCCCCATCCCAAAAGACTGCTGAGCCTAGGAGAGGCCTTGCCGGAGAGACATTCAGATTCAGAGAGAATGAAAAAGTAGGTGCACATTCCCCACGTCAGAGACAGGGCCGTCTTAACCCCTAGGCCACTAAAGTCATCGCTTGGGGCTCCATATATTTTGGGGCCCCCATTTTTAAAAAATAATTACTTATACATTTTATTTTAGAAAAAAATTATATGTACTGTGAGTGTTATGATTTCTACTAAGAAAATTGCATATGAGATGAAAATAAACCTGAATTTCGTAAGAAACACTTTGATGAAAATATTAATAGCGAAATCACAAAGTCCCTTGAAGAATCTTTTAGAGTTAATTGCTTTATATATGTAGAGTAGATCAAACTATTTTTTCACTTCAAAATATATTTGAACCAATTGAAGCATATGGAATATTTTTAAAATATTGTCTTAACCTTGAACTTTCTTTAACACGTAATAATTATTCTACTATTAATGGTTTAGATTTATTTTTTAAATTAAAAGTGTTAAGGGAAATAATACAAGTAGAAGATAATGATCTAATGAAAATACCTTATCAAACAAAAAGACTTGATTCTTTTTCAAATACACATATTGCTTATAGAAATAATGTTAACAGTTCCTGTAACTGTTGTCTCAGCCGAAAGAAGTTTTTTCGAAATTAAAATTGATTAAATCTTCTTTAAGATCAACAATGTCTCATTAGAGATTGAATGAATTAGCTATATTATCATTTGAAAAGGAATTATTAAAACAAATTGATTATAAAACAGTACCTAATGACTTCGCATCTAAAATAGCTAAAAAAGTAGATTTTAAATAAAAGTATATATAATGAAAAAATTAATATTAGGGCCCCTCTCTTAAGTTTGGCTTTAGGCCTCCAATGTTGTTGAGTCGGCCCTGGTCAGAGAGTAGAAAAGACATCTGCGCATCGAATATAACACTAACGAACTATTATTATTTTCGTTGTCTCACCCAAGGGTGTGTTGCCTAGTGGTCAATGAAGTGGAAGGAGAACGATGAGGTCTTAGATTAAAATTCCAATAGAGGCCAAAAACAATAGGTGATTTTTCTCATCTGGCCAAGCTTTTGGTGGGCGAGTTATCAGTATTTGTGTTTCGGTGGGAGGTAATAGGTACCAGGTAAATAGTCAAGGTGCGCGCAAACTCGTCCGGACACCATTATCATAAAAGAGAACAAAAGAATTAGTGTTATTTTCATTGTCACATGATACTGAAAGTAAAAAAAATAAATTCTTAGAGGTGCCCACGACCTTTAGGAGCTGAAGACTTATCTCAGTAGAGATCTTTAGGAGCTGATGTTCTACTCAGTTTCGGTATATTTGCTTTAATAGAAGTTGACATATTTGAGACTAAGAATGTGGAAGAAAAGAGAAGGAAAAGAGGCAAATACTTTGTACTTTGCAGAGTTTTGTGTTTAAAATGAACAATCCTTCCCACCCCTTCCTTTTCTTCTGTTCCTTTTTGCTCCAATTTAACCATATAACCTTGAGTTTCACAAATTAATAGGAGAGTATTTAGGCTTAGTTTGGTGTGAGACAACCTGCAGTGATTAAAATATGAACTGCGTAGAGGTTATAGTTATTAAGGTATTATATATATATATTATATTTCCTGTTGATTTCCATCATGCAATTTTCGTTGTAGTTTCACTTGTAGTTTATGATGTGGGACATTCTTTGCATTTGTTGATTTTTGTCAAATTCATTGTTCCTTTTATGTATCCCATTTGAGTTATTTTTTCGATTGCCCTAACCATGTTTATATTATACATTGATTGCAGCTGCATACAATGTCAAGTCTGATGTTTATGCATTCGGTATTTCGCTCTATAATCTTCTAAACAAGAGGGCTCTTGACAAGGAATAATATACAGGGTGTGAAATTGATAAGTGGGCCGCGAATGAGTACAAGCACAGGCGTTCATATGTCGACCGAAGTCTTGAGGATGATACCTACTTTGATCGTCGGGATGGACGTAAACTTACAGAACTTGCAAGACAGTGTATGGATGATGAACAAAAGGAACGACCAGAAATGAAAGAAGTTTTTGAGCGTCTGAAGGGCCTTAGGTGTTGTGCGGCAGCAGTATTGTGAGATATAGGATGTGTGGAGAAGAAAGCAGTTATTTCTATAAAAATTAATGTACATCTTGATCTTCGTCGACTTCCAAAATATTGTTAACTTCAGATGTTTTCTAAGTAATACTTATTTTAGCTATCGAGTTGTCCGTTGGATTTAATTTATGGTTTTGTTACGTGTTTCGGTTTACCATGCGCCACAGCCAACGGCAAAATATAATAGAGGTGCAATGCTATAAGCCTATAACTATTATAGTCCCTCATGTTCTTGGTTTCAGTGATTTTGCCCTCAAGTTCAACCATATTTTCATGAAATTCCTGCTTCTGCCTAAACTTCTGCTTCATAACCTGAACTTCAAACAAAATTTTACACTACTTGCAATAAAATGTTTGGATAAGCGACAAAACAAACTACAGCGCAACAACATATGATTGAAGGCCTTGTACTATTTTCCGATTGTACAATATATATCGAAACTTAGAATTACAATAACAAATTTGTGCAATTTCACAAGTAGGTATTTCCCCTACTTTGTGAAGGTAGAGAAGATATTTTCGTTAGACTCTTGACTTAGCAAAACATATCAAATCATGTATCAAAATAAAATAAAATAGTGAATATGCCATATTGAAAATAATTAATGAAATAACAATAGCAATAATAATACAATAACTAATGCAAAAGAAATAACAACTAATAATAAAATCAAAGAATTAGATATTATTAGTAGGGGAATCATAATAAAACTGATAAGGAAAATCATAATAATTAATGAAATAACAATAGCAATAATAAGTAAGTAATTAGTATCATTTCAATATTTGTCACTACCATTATACTATAGTTGAAAAGACATTTCAATAGTTTAATATTAGATTATATGATAATCTAGCTAATACTGCAACTTATAAACCAACAAATATATTAGTCTTAACATAAACTAAATAATTAACTATTAAAATGGACAAATAATCAAAGGGTCACAACAAATTTTCAATTTGTAGTATTTTCTAAACTAAAAAAGGAAAAAAAATGACTTTTTTTTTTGAATGAATAAGATGAACTTGTTTGACACTGAATAAAATTTTATTTCTAGAAAAATGATACCACGTAGTCACTTTAGATTTTGTTCTTTAAGACGTATTACATAGCCACATAATTCGAGTTGATGAAATCAATTAACATCGTCAATCAAACGAATTTTATTAGATATTTATAATCGTATGAATTATGAATGTGAACTTATGTTTTAAGTGTATATTAGCTATAAATTATTGTAGAATTTATAAACTTAAATTATGAATCCGTTCTAACACAGTAAGAAGATTAAAATGCGGAGGAGAAAAATTGGCTGATAGGTTCATTTAAGTTTTTAATTAGTAAAATGACATTCTTTCATTTATTTATTTTGTTTCAAAATCTTTTTCAAATGGTATTTTCTTCTTTTTTTTTGCTACTATTCTTCTTCTACCCTCTCAATTAAGTTATTTACAATCTTTTAAAGATGAGAACGACTAATATCACATAATTAATTACATTTTAAATCACAAATAAACTAGAGTACTTTCTCTTATTATATAAGTGGCAGTTAGGCATCAAGCAGTCAGGACACTGTCGACATGTGTTTCTTAGGATTAAGAATAAATTAAGGGGCATTTTTGGTCACTTAAGGCTTCTCAAACTGAGGGCTTTAAGCTTTAATTTTATTATACTATATGCTATATTGTATGAACATTTCTCGTAATAGATAAAAAAGCACCTCCTCTGTAGTTTTATCCCTTTTTCATGTGGGCCCCTGCTAAAGTTGAGCAACTTCAACATATTTTCGATAGAAAAAAAAAGCTTCTCATTGCTTCACTATAATTTAATTATTATCAATAATTTAATTATTTATCAAGAGAAAAAAGGTAGTCAGTAATATTTTGAAATTATAGGACCTATTTAGGCTACCCACTTTAGTGTTAAATTTATTTTTTTTACCTATCACTTTAGAGTATTATAATTGGGTTAAAAGTTGATTAAACCTATTTTTAATTATAGCGATCCTAATAGGGATCCATCACGTCAAATTTTTTAGAAAGAAGAATGAAATTACCATACAAATATATATAACTTTTATGGATAAAATTTTTAAAATTGTTTAATTAACACCATTTAAAATTTACAATGTAATAATATTTATCACGTATTCACTTCATGCTTAATTAGATAATTTATTACCACAAATATAAAGTTTATTATTGCTAAAAATTTAAATTATTTGATTAATATTATTTTAAATATATAACTTATGAGATTTCCTCACTAGTTAGAATATATAGAAGACTTGAATGGGCATTTTAACCAAGATTCTCAGAAAAGGAATATAGGTAAAGTAATTAGTAAATGTTTATTTGATCGGATAATAGAATTATCTCATAAAAATATGATCTATCCCATTCAATTCATTTAAAAATTAAATTAATATGTAATCTCAATTAATCCAGGAACTATTGTCAAAATATTCTTAAAAAAAATATATTTGGTGTATAATATATGTTATATGTATCCATAATACAAAACAAAAATGTTTCACTAGTTAACGTAAAAGTTTTTATAAAAGAGTAAATAAAGAAATAAAAATTAAATGAACTGAACTATAAACTTGTTACATATTTTTGGTCAATCACGATAAAATACACAAATTAAGAGACGCTAGTAAATGAAATCAAAATAATTCAATTGCAATTGAACTTAATTATCAATTTCATTAGTTAAAGTTTAATAGTAAATTCTTGATAATGACATCTAATCGATGTCCAAGTCCAAAACAGTCTAAAAATTCATCTAACACCATAATCTCCTATTTACACTTTTTGACCAATTCCAATAGCCTCTAATAAATTGCCATCACAATTTACCCTTGAGAAAGCTAATGCATAATTTCTTCCATTGTTCCCTGTCTGGCTCACGCTCTTCAACCTTTGCCTTGGCCACATCAGCCATGCTCTCCTATATTACAACAAAATTTACATTAAGTCAAAGCTTTATAATTGACATACTAAACTATTTCACATGAAAATTTTAATAATATCAATCAATCATGGCACAATATATAACACATTCTAAACATGTGACACATTGACTGTTCAAGACGTCATTTGGCACACTTACTAGTAGGGTCAGCTAGATAAAGTATATAATACATTGAAAATGTCAATAGGACCACTAACATGACATGGATTTTGAATACTCGAAAAGACAACTTACTTAGTTCTAGATTAAATCATTTATGCATATCAAGTAAATTTTGTAAGCAGAACTATAACTCTGCCCTTGTAATTGGTACTATATGACGTATATTTATGTTTTAGATTATTACCTCAATAAGGTTGTGTTGAAGAAGACGATCAATGAGATGGAGAAGAATGTCTTTGGTGTACTCAGGGTGACCTTGAATACCCATGATGTGATCACCATATCTAAACATCTCAATTCCAGTTTTGTTGGACCAGGCCATTACCTCTGCCTTTGGTGGAAGTTCACGGATCTAATTCCAAAGAACAACCTACACATTTTTAGCTATTTTTGTACTAAACTAGTATTCAACAAGAGAGGGGAATTTGGTACAAACCTCATCGCGATGACACTCGATAACTTGCAAAAATGCAGGTAATTTGAGAGAGTTGAATTGCTTGGACGTTGATAAATTAACAGTAGTGACACCAATGTCCCATCCATTAGTAGCTCTCTCTATAGTGCCACCCAATGATCGTCCTAATATCTACAAGAAAAGAAATCAGCCAAAGAAAATTTAGCAAAAAATGATAAAAATCAAATTGCATCATATAATATGTCAAAAATTCCAAGAGGCTACAATATTACGTTGTAATAGTAAGACAACAATAATTAGTAGTGTGGTGGTCCCCCTTTAATTGAATATTTCGTGTTTGAATCCTGAGTATGAAGAAAATTCTATTGAAAATGTGTGACTCGTTTGAGTCTTGGAAAAAAATTATGTTGAGAGTGAGTGATTTGAATTTAATCCAGGCTCCCATACCGACTTTGGACAATGGTTGGAACATTAATGCCCTCTAATTTTCTATCTTGGTGGGTGATGTTGGATTTGGAGGTTGGAATAATATCACCGACAAGGTCGGCTATGTGCCACGTACAACCCAAACTTATCTTTCTACTTAATTATTAATTAATTCTCTCTTGATCTAATCCTTCTCATATGCAAATCATATTAATATATATTAGTAACAAGTAGGACATGTTGTTAGATAACATAAATAAACATTGGATCTTAGCTTGAACGGAAAAATTTAACCAATTATATTATTATTATTTTTAGATTCTTATATCAGACTTATAGCTAGGTTGAAAAAAGTAGATTTTAAATTAAAAAACTAAAAGTAAGGAGGGGGGGGGGTGTTCTATTTTTGGTTATAAACTTTTCTTTTTTATGATAAGAAAAATCCGCAGCCACTATCCTTTGAGTGCGCATAGAATAAAACTCTCGCTCCTACGCAATAGCTCGCAAACCACATAGGAGAGGTAACCTGCACTAGGCAAGCCCGGTGTGACGAACTCGACCCAAAAGACAAACCCCTTGCTTTCGCTGGCAAGGGGTTTCGAACTTGAGACCTCCAACATGAAAGTCTTAAGCCCAAGCCACTAGGCCACCCCGAAGGGTGGTTTTAAACTTTTTTTTAAGTAATTATTAACTTTGTTAAACATTTCCAAAAACTAAAAATGACTTAAAAGTAAATTTGAGCAACTTTTTTGTCAATTCAAACAGACTCGTGCTATGGAGAATTAACTATTATTATTGGTTAACACAACTTAAAGTACAAAAAACATATATTTGAAATGATATCGAAGTACAAAAAAAAAACCCGAAGTTGCAATAAAAGAAAAGTAGAACGAATAATTGAACGGAGGGAGTACATTGAAACTTACTGGCCTAGAAGATACGTAATTAGATTTAGTGACAGATTTTTTTTGAATTGGACGGCATTTATCATTTGTCAGACTTAATTATAGTACATAGTTAGGTGAAGTAGTGATTCTAAAAAATAAATGTAAATAACAGCGGTATATGACAAAAAAGTTAAAAAATTAAAGACGAACACGTGACTAAGTAAGATTGGGTGACAAGAATACAGATATGTGCCTCAAACATGAGAGAAAGAATCCCAAAATACATGGGCTGTCTATAATTTGGATCCACATATGAAAAGTGGGGATCAAAACTCAATCGGCTCTTATCCAAATTTCACTAACTCTAAGCCAGAATAATACCAACATGATTTCCAATTTTTCACTCAGTTTTTGGCATATGGTCCCAAATCTCATTCACAAATCTTTTTGCTTTTGAACCACTATGGTCCACCCATGTAGTAGTTTCGAATTTTAAATTTATGAGTTTTTGAGTTTTAAAAAGTTAGTTTATTATTTTATTTTTAAAAATATATCAAATTAAATATGAACAAGTAAAATGGATTGAGGAAGTAGTAATTAAAGAAGATTTATATAATACATAAATACGTCTTTTAACTTGATTTTTCAATTGACATTTATGTCCTTCAACTTTGGGTGGTACAAGTAGGCATTTAAACTTGTATACAATTGAATAAGTAGACACAAGTGTCCCTACGTGACATAATACACATAAGACGCCATGTAAAACACAAAATTGTCATGTAGGACGACTTTGTTTATTTGTTCAATTTTATATAGGTTTAAAGGGTCGTTTGATTGGAAATTAGTTATCCCAGGATAAACTATCATGGGATAACTTATCCTACCATGTATATGAGATAACTTATCTTATCACTATGCTATAAATGGTGGATAAGTTATCCCAAACATGTCAACCAAACAAAACATCTAAATTTTATCCTAAGACTATTTATACTTATCTCTCACACCAAATGAGTAAGTGTCTATTTGTGCACATCCAAAATTAAAGGTCATAGTTGCTGGTTGAAACCAAGTTATGAATATTATGCCAAAAAAGAATTAGGCAAATTTTATCTTTTCCTATAGATGGGAGAGAAGAATTAAGACATAACTTCATAACACAGAAATTACAACTATTAAAATAACATTGCCAATTTGTCCAAATACGTTAACAGAATTAGCATATTTTCATATAAAATATTATATCTCAACTAGGATTAAACAATCGCATAGCACAGAAAAGAGTTACAAAAATAACAATTACCTAAATTAATGTACAAAAATGTACGTAAGATTCTATACAGTTAGGTAGTTTGGTCGGTGGAATAAGAATAACAATTTCAAAATGAAATGTGAATTTATTTTATTTTTGTATTTGACTGTAAATATTAATTAATTTCGAAATTATTTTAACCATCCTTCATAGTATTACTTATATAGTGAAATTAGTTTTGAAGAATATTTTTGTTATACTTTATGAATAAAGGTAGTAATAAGCCACGTATGAAACGTACTAGAACAAAGCATTAAGAGTGCGTTCGTTACAATTGGAAAAGACAGCAAACGAAAAACTAGAGACACAAGACAGCTGTAAGTAAACGAATTTAGAACAAATTTCAACAACTCAAAATAAGCCTTAAAATAAGATACTCCTTCCATTTCCGTCCCAATTTATTTGTGTGATTTTTACGGTAAAAGAAGGTTTATAAAATATTTATTAATTTTGTGATTTTTATAGACATGCCATGTGACAAGACAAATAAATTGAAATGAAAAAAAGTAACGGAGATTAAAAATAGAGTTTTTGGCGAGTAAAATAGTAAATAAAAAGAAATACCTGGTGTCCAAAGCAAATACCCAAAACTTTCTTCTTCATTGAATCAATTTTTTTGAGCAGATTGAGTAACTTACAGATCCACAAATCATTGCCATGCGCGTCATTGCAACTTCCGGTGATTACAAATCCATCGAATTCTCCGATCTCATCATCCGTCGGAAACTCGCCATGAGCCACCCGGAAAAAGTCCCACGTTTCCCCTTCCTCCGCCAGCATTCTCACGAAAACCCCGAAATAACCACCGTATTTCTTCTTCACGTATTCTGAATCCTCTGCACATAATAGAACTGCAAATTTTTTTCCTTCCATTATTAATTAATTACAGATTTTGCAGAAATAAAGAAGAAGAAATCTTCTTAAATCCTCTCACTCACTAAATAAATTCTCTCTCTAGAGGAAGGTCTAGAGAGAGATGGAGATTTTTCTCAATTTTGTTTTGCTTATGAATTGATGAAGGAAGATTTAGGAAAACAGGGTGTTTATATAAACTCAAAAGACGTGAATAAAATTATTTTATTTGCAATTTCGTCCTTCGATTATCAGTTAACTAATAAGAGTATGATATTGAGTATTGACACAATTAACCCTTGATTAGGTTTAGGCATCATTATTTATATGAAAAAATAAAAAGTGTCAAAAGTGTCTTTAATGTATTATAAATAACTTCAAAATATCTCCCTTCTATTTATTGGATCAACTTTGTCTTTCGTAAATGTCCTTAACTAATTAGAAAAGACGCTAAGAAGAAAAGACTTTAGAAAGAAAAAAAATATTCTCTTCTATTGGATCAAATTTGCTTTAACGTTATTTTCAATCTTAATATTATCCCTCCATAAAAGGTAAAATTATATGATATATATATTTAAATAACTAATCCACGTAGAATTCTAACCCAACTCAAAAGGACCCGATCCCTCGATGATCCAACCTAACACAATATCAAATTTAAATTAATACTTAGTGCAATTAAATCATTTTTCACCTCTCGTTTTATAATTGTTCTTGCTTCAATTAATGTGTATTGATCCGAGTAAGTGAAAGAGAAGATTTTTGAATCATTTCTAATGTGTTAAAGCTATTTAAAAACTTTTTTCCCTATTTAGAAAGTAAATTAAGAGTTACTAAAGAATATTGCCGTAAAGCTATATGAGAAATTGACTTTCAAAACCAAACTTCCCAATATGGCTCTATAACATTTAAGGCGTAATAAGGTTTGATCCATTTTTTTATTATATATTTACATTGCACTTAGGGATCGTTTGGTAGAGTGTACAAGAACAATGCAAAATAGGGTGTATTACTAATGCTTGCATTAGTTATGCAAGCATTATTTCTTATACATTGTTTGGTTTGATGTATTAGAAATAACAAATCTTGCATGATTTCTATTAAAAATATATGTTTACAAAAATACCCTCACTTTATTTATTTGTACACTTCCTTTGCAACAAAGCTCTTTGCTAAAACACCATTAACTCTTCTTCTTCTTCTTTTCATAAATAATATTAAATAGTTATACTATTGCATCAAAATATTTTTGTGAAGAGTTTGCAAATAATTTTTTTTTATCAAATTTATCATCACAATAGTAAAAATTGTGATTAAATTATATTGAAATTAATTTTTATTTAAAAATAAAAATAAAATTAAGAGGTCATAAAGCCTATTAAAACACCAATAAATTAAAAGACACTAAAAAGCAAATCAAAGTCAAAATGAGAAATTTATGACAACAAAGAAAATGAAAAGGCTTTAAGGGTAGTTTTATAATTGTTTAATCTAATGCAAGTGTTAAAATGTTATGTATTGCTAATACCTAGAATTCCTTGGTTAGTAATACACAACTTAATACACAATAGAGTGTATAACTAATGCTTGCATTAGTTATACATGACATGAAAAAGTGTACCAAACAAGGTACTACTAATACACACACCTAATGCATGCATTATATTTTCTAATACACTCTACCAAACGACGCCTTAGTAATCTATCACTTTTACAAAAGAACATTTTTCATAAATATTTTTTTATGTCAATCATCAATTAATTTCTCATTAAGTGGCGAATTTCATGGCTGCTAACTCTCGTAATGAGATTCAAAATGGCTGGTTGGCGGCTGCTTAGATTTACAGTTTATTACATTATTGTGAACAAATAAATTTTATAAAAAAATATAAGATTGTTCTAAAGATTTAACTTTATAAATATAGTAGTATTTCTTCAATATTGTAGTCTGTAGAAGTGAATTTTTATTTATTTTTTACTTTATGTATATAGATTTTCTTAACTATCAGAAGAAATAATTAATATACTTAATTTAATTCTATAGTAAATATCAGTTTACCTTAAATTAAGTAATTCTTTTCCATTCTTAAACAAAAATGAGTAAGAATTTATACGAAGTAATATTTTATATCTACTACAATCAATAAT